CTCACACACACACACACACACACACACACACACACACACACACACACACACACACACACACGCACACACACAATCAGTTGTATGTTTGTCTATTTTCCTATTGTTGTCTGTCCTCCCCCTAATCTTTTCTAAGTGTTTTTGCTTGCCCAAACTGAGCACCCTTAAGTAGTGCCAAACAGTCGGTGGTTCCTCGTTTGGAGTGCCTACTGCACTCTTATGGGGGCCGCTCAGTTCGGGATGCCTGTGTTGCCTGTGGGTGATGATAGATGCTCGTCGGAGTGACTCCCTGGCTCAGTGGGTGGTGGGAACCAACAGTCTTTAGGGTTCAATCGTGATGTGAGTAGGTCATGTGCTGCTTTGCTCCGTGTTGGATGTGTGGACTGCCTCGTCTGCGCACCACCGCTGCCTTGCTGCCTGTCCGGCTTGCTTTGCATGTTGTTCTCTGCAAGTTGCTGTGTTCGCTGTGTAGTGTGGCTGTGTTGTCGGTGTTGCCTTGCGCTTCGTTGCTCCGCTGCCTTGCTGCCCATTCGCTGGCCGTGCCTTCCRTGTTTCCGCGCTGCGTGCCATGTCTTCCCTTGCAGACGTTTTTGGCGTTGTGCAGCCCTGTTGCCTCTACTGTGCTGCCTGGTGCTCCACAGAGTCACCGCCCGGTGCTGTGTTCCACTTGGGGACAGTCTGCCTTCAACAAGGGTCAAAGGGTTTATGACCCAAACCATCTAATACGGAGATTCCCGCAGATTGTCGCGGGTTCAGCCTCCTGATGAGTCGGTGCAATTCCGACGAAACAATCTTTCATCATCAGTTTTTATTTTTTTCAGGCTCTGAAACTTTTATGGACTTTATTTTTTTCTGATTTGCCTGCCTTTTGTGCTTGTTGTTGTCTGCCGTCCTATATCCCTCGTGCCTATTGCTGGTGTGTTGTCTTCCCTCCCTCCTCCCCCATGCCCATGTGTTTGTCTTGTTGTCTGTGGCCTCTGTGTTTCGTTGTTCTCCCTTCCTTGCTTTTGGACTCGACTCCACTCAGATGCGTACTCTCCTCCTGAAGTGTTGTGATGGTATGGTGCATGGTTTTTACTGTGCAGAAGTGTCCGCAATATGTGTTCACACACATCATCACACACACACACACACACATACACACACGCGCGCCCGCACACACACACACACACACACACATACACAGACGCACACACGCAGAGTCCGCATCCGTCATCGTATTGATCATTGGATGTGCTCATCACCTAGACAGTTTATCTAGTTTGCTGTGTTGCTCGATCGCTCGCTTTCTATCTGGCTTTGTTGTATATACGTCAACGTTTGTTCACTAGTGTGTTTGTTCGTCTTTCGCCCCCTCCCCCCTCCTTCCATGGAGACGGCCGGCCTTTGATGGCCCCTCGAATTTCAAAGACAGAACTGCAAGTGGAAGAAGAGTTCCTTCAGATGCGGAAGTCATCCTCAATGTGCTCCCTTGCACCTCCAACTGTTCCCTACGCCTCTTCTACAGCTCCTGATATTTTCTTGCTTCATTTTCAGTGTGGGTTATGTTCGAGGCAAGATGGTGGTAGATCTTAGACCACCAGTACAATCAAAGATCCATTATATTCAATTTTTGCAAAATTGAACCTTGAGTCCGGGGACCTCACAACTCGACCCGGATTACTGAGAGCATTACTCAGCTTCCCGCTGGCTGGCAACAACTAGCATTTTAAACTTTGTTGTCCATTTTAAACTTGCGCACAGCTACCTAGCCTAACTACTAGCATACCCTGCTATCTTCCGACCGCTAGCTGACTAGTAGGGTTCATGCCTGAGCAGCACCACGTAGGTAGTGGGTTCCAGTCCCGTTGCCCTCACTTTCACTGGCCTGAGGAGGATGGCCAGGGCCAGCCAACACTGGTAGCTCGCTGGCCTGAGTTGTGCCGCCCTGTAGCCCCTAGCAATGTGGGAGTGTCAGGCCCCGCGGAAGTGGCTGCTCAGGTCCTGCTGTAGCAGGTTGAATTGTCAGTCAGAATCATCGTAGCTGACATTCATCGCTTGATTATTATGCCTATCAGGGTAGATACTTCAGATGTACCCATGAGCTGCTGATAGGCATCATCTAGACAGTTTGCAGTTTGGGAGGCTGAACCCCCTTTCCAGCGCTAGCCTAAGCTGGGTAACGGCCTGGGGATCAAACATAAGTGATAGCACCAACAGCCAAGAGGGAGTGGAGTGTGGTTACAGTGGTGTATATTATCACTAGCCAAATGCTGTCATGTAGCGAAATAATTACAGTCACAAACGGGACCAGAAAACACAAAGGGGTTTCGAGCTGGGAAAAACGGGACAAGCAGAGTCCTTTTACAAGCGGTCACAGGACTGGTGTATGCTATCGCTTACCTGTGTTATCATGTACGCTATCAACATAGGCGTCATAATCTGGTTTTCGTAGGTGGGCCCTGGAGCTAACAGTCTTTACAGCCGGTAGTTTGCTTAAACATTCAATCAGATCTTTCAGGGACGCTGGACGCGCTTTCCAGCAGGTGGTGGTCCCCACCAATAGATGGAGCCTCCCTGGGGAGAAGGTCCCACTTTCACGGATTAAGAGATTCTGGCAGTTGATCTTTGCCATCTACGGTCAATATCGCTTAATTAGTGTAAGTGGGACCTAGCCCCAGGAGTGCTAGTGGTGCCTGCTCCTACCTGCACCCCTAGCATGAACTCGTGTTGTTCTCCTTGGGGGAAAAAAAAAAAAAAAAAAACGCTGGGTAACAGCTCCAGTTTTTTCTCGGGGTTGAGATGTCCGAGTTGTCCCTGCCTCACCTTTGATAATGTACCTAGTACATAAAGGGAAAAGTGATCCTCAGTAGACGCCCCCAGCAGGCCCACGGAAAAGAAGTACCGCGGGGTCGTTTCTCCGGACAGCCGCTGAAAAATCTCACAATAGGCGCGGGACTGCGGGTTCCAGTCGGGGAGGGGCTGGGTCAGTTTTGGAATCCGGGAGGGCCCGTTTTTTCACATTTTGGCCTGCTACTTGGGCAGGCGTTTTTTTCCGGGGGCACTTGGTACAGTTGGTGTTGGCACAGCTTTATGAATGGGGTCATTTTTCGCTGCGGGTTTGTGTCACGCCAAGAAGTAGATTGCAGAAAGGGTTGTACGGCTGGTGTCGGACAGATTCAACCAGCCTGACCCGGGAGACCGAGTGTATAGTTCCATGTGCTAGTGTGAGCCAGTGCCGTACCCCTGTTCATTGCTTACGGGGTACGTTTTTTTTTTGTTTTTTTTTTTCGGGGGCAGCCGCTCCATCTATTGGTGGGGAGCATCACCTGCTGAAAACCGGGTCCAGCATCCCATATCAAAACTTTATCTCCCTTCCTAACCTGTGGCACGCCCGGGTGTTGGGAGAGGGCCACCGGGGGGCACCAGGGGAGTCTCCCTCCTTCACCCAGGCCCTGCCGACCACCTACTTCCCCATGGCGTCTATCGTATACTAGGAATCATGTGCTGAGAATTCAGCTCTATGTTTTAAAATAGAATACCTGCTGGAAACTGGGTCCAGCGTGAATGCGGGCCGGTCACAAAAATTGTGACAGGTTGGAGTTAACGGAGTTCATGCAGAGTGGGAACCCCTTTTTTTGGGGGGGCTGGTAGGTTTGTTTGTTTTTTTTGCACGGTTGTCATGGGTTGTGTGCATGGTGTCCATCGGCACCTGCCCATATATTTTCTTTTTCTCCCGATCGGAATTTGTTTTTTTTTCTAATCTATGAAAGAAAATAAAAATTGATCTCGCCTGTGTTAGGCGAACCATTCTTTGGGCTGTGGGGCCGTGTGGGCCATTCTGAGGGTATTTTGCGGGCTTCAAAAAAAAGAAAAAAAATTGATGACACAGCGCAGGCACCGCGCCATACCGCCATTGGAAAGAAAAAAAAAAAAAACACAAAAACCCATCGTTGGTCCTCGTCTCGTGAATGGCGGGTAGGCCCTGTGGCACCTACTCCTTTCGGTTTGGTGGTGCAATAAAACACCGACCAGATCCCCTCGATCATTCATTGGTGTGGCAGGCAGACACACACACACCAGAGAGAGAGAGAGAGAGAGAGAGAGAGAGAGAGAGAGAGAGAGAGAGAGAGAGAGAGAGAGAGAGAGAGAGA